GAGGCAAACATCTTTAGTGTCCCCTCAAGTAAATAAGACTTTATTTCATTATAAGAAGAAATAATCCAATTTTAAAAGCTTAAGGCTGTCAGCAAGACACACCCTCAATTTCATTGTCCACATACTGTCTGCTCTGATTTATGATGCCAATACTTTTGGCCACACGTCACACCACACTTTGTTCTACTGGTTATTAGACCTTTTGGTGAGAGGGCTCGGTCAACTCTTGACTAACATGGCAACTCAGTCAGCTAGAACCAAATACCGAGTTGTGGTTCAATGTACATTAAGGGCCTTTTAGTTTCCCTAAGCTCAATTCTGTATCAGAAATCAAACTGAGTGTGAATGGCAACATAAAGCGTCACCTTCATTCATCAGCCACCTCATTTCAGTTCCATTAAGGGTTTATTTTCTCTATGTGGCAAATCTGAAAGATCTTGAATCCAGCTTTCTGTGTAGATGCATCAAGTAGCCAGCCCTTGCTCATCCCTCCTGACTCACTTTATTCATGTTTACAAAGAATTCCAATCTCTTGCTTCTAAAGTAATATAGGCTTTCTGTAAGAGTAGAAGTCTCCAGTGCAAGAAGGGGACAGGGCTCATTATCAGCTCCGACACACTATCACCTCTCACCAAATATGCCAGGGTGGGGTGTGTTCAGTGTCTGCCAGGACAAAGATAAGGGGGCACAGCTGGCCCTCCTTCTGCTATCTCAGAATTCAGGTCAACATCATAGAGATCTTCTCTAGGTAACCAATTTAAATCATCTTTTAATAGTAAAAAACCACGTGAGTGTTTTAGGAAAGAGGATTATTTAAGGTAGCCCAGCAGAGACAACTCTGGAGATTTCTAGATCTGTCTATATACTATTTATAGTGGCTAGACAGATTCAAATGAATCTCATCCTTTAATAAACAGAAATTTCATTTCTAGGCAAGAGGGTAAAAGTGAAAGGTTTTAATTTAGTGTATTTAGTTGCTTCTCCTCATTAATGCTACAGATAAAGTACAGAAAATCATTACAGTATTTTTACATAACATTGCCTGACTTAAACTGTACCAACACACAAAAAATATTTCATTACCAAGGACATCATATGTACCTACTTAGTAACATAGCTTAACAGATAAAATACTGTTCAGTGTGTTTAAAGGGGCAAAAAGTCTAATTCCTGTTATGTCAGGCACTAATGTTTCTGTCCCTCTGATTTCCTAGTCTTCAGAAATGTAAACAAAGAATGTACATGCTTACCATGCTCATTCCCTCTCAGAAGCTGGTGTTTTCATTCAATTTAACAAACATTCAGTAAACACGCCACACTGTGGACAGTAAGCTGGTGGAGGAGCTCACATTCACAAATGCACATGCAATTATGGGGAAACTGAGAACTTTTCCCATTTAGAAGCTTTTTGGTGTTTTTTTTTAATTTGCAGAATGCCTCACTTCTAAAATATATCCGGCTGGTGTGGCTCAGTGGTTGAGCGTCAACCCATGCACCAGGAGGTCACCGGTTCGATTCCTGGTCAGGGCACGTGCCCAGGTTGTAGGCCCAATCCCCACTGGGGGCATGCAGGAGGCAGCCAATCAATGTTCTCTTTCATTGATGTTTCCATCTCTCTCTCCCTCTCCCTTCCTTTCTCTCTAAAATCAATAAAGAAAAACAAATTTTTGAATAAAATATATCGGGGTCAATGTCATAGTTTCAATATGACTTAGAAACAAGAAAATTATTAATAAACATAAGACATCTGTTTAGTTTGGGTCACATTAGGTTCCTTAAAAGTAAAAACATAGAAAAATGAAAAAGAATAAGCCAAAACAAGATCACTAGGTACAACCCTTGCTAGTCTAGAAGTTCAAGTTAACTATTTAAACATATTATTCACGATCACCTTCCTAAGCAATAAAAAAACCTAAGACCAGCAGGGCTGGAACAGAAACATCAGAGAAAACTTACTATGTTAGATAAATGAATTACTGACACAAATTACATTACATAGTAAAGTAAAAGCTGCCGCCCAGTGTGGCTCAGTGGTTGAGTGTCGACCTACGCACGAAGAGGTCGCCGTTTTGACTCCCAGTGAGGGCACATGCCCAGGTTGTGGGCCTGATCCCCAGTGGGGGGTATGCAGGAAGCGGTCAATCGATGTTCTCTCTCATTGATGTTTCTCTCTCTCTCTAAAAATCAATAAAGAAAAAAAAATTTTTTAAAGAAACACCGATGAAAGAGAAGATCGAATGGCCACCTCCTGCATACCCCTCACTGGAGATCAGGCCCACAACCTGGGCATGTGCCCTGACTGGGAATGGAACCAGCCACCTCTTGGTGCATGGGTCAACGCTCAACCAGTGAGCCACACTGGCAGGGTCTCTCATCGATGTTTCTATCTCTCTCTCCCTCTCCCTTCCTCTCCCTCTCTAATATCAATAAAGAAAAAGTAAAGTAAAAGCCTGTAACTATATTTTTTGGAGGGTAGATGTTACTTTGTGAAGTTGCTGAGGATGTTATTTTTTATCTTAGATAGTAGAGATACAGTTTCTATACACACAGAACCTACATTTAATGGTAAGGCTATATGTGAAGTTAGACTTCTTAATTTCTTTCTACTATTTATTTGCATCCATTCAAATGTTGAAAAGAATAACAATGAGAAATTGACCTAGAGCAAGAACACCCATCTTTCCCCCGTCACCTCCAAGTGGGTTTATAAAATTGTCAAAACAAAATTCATTTAGTCGCTTTAATTTTTATTTTATTAATTAATTAATTTAATTTATTTATTTATTCATTTAATCCTCACCAGAGAACTTTTTTTTTTCCATTTTTTGTTCAGATAGAGTCAGGGGAAGAGAGAGAGAGAGAGAAACATCGACGTGAAAGGGACACATCGAGTGGCTGCCACCCGCACAACCAACCAGGGCCTGGGGACAAACTGCAACGGAGGTACATGCCCTTAGCTGGAACCTAACCTGGGTCTCTCTGGACCGCAGGCTGACGCTCTAACCGCTGAGCCAAACTGGCCAGGGAGTCACTTTAATCTTTAAAAAATACATTCGAAGTTCCATCTTTTGGACTGTGTTGTAAAATATGAACAGGGTGGGTTACGATCTAAGAAAGGGGAGACAAATACACACCTCGAGAACGTTTAACATCTTGACATCAAATACCAAGAATCAAAAATCTTTTGATGATTCCTTATTGGAGAAACTTAATCTACCAGCCCAAGTAGAGCAAAATTTGATGAATAAGAATCTAAAGTAAACAATGATAGTGAGAAAGAAGCCAGGTAGCTGCACTGTCCCTTCTGCCCAGCTCTGAGGCCACTGGTCATCTTCCATTTGCTCCAGACAATCTTTTTCTATGCTTTTTTTCCTTCATAAAATGAGTTTTCTTTATAGAAGAGCCTTGCTTTTCCATATTGTTCTAAATGTTTTTTTCAATCTTTTACCGAATCCTTCAAAAGCAACACTTCTTTTGAAATGACAAAATAAAAGCTCTATTTCTCTTCTTTATGATAGCAAATTGATGTGATAAGGCTGGATTTTTCCTTGCCTTCTCAGAAGACTGAAACTTCGTTTGTCTTTTGGAGGAAAAGAAACTGGACTATAATATGGAAAAGCAGCCCTGGCCAGTTTGGCTCAGCGGTTAGAGCATCGGCCTGCGGTCCAGAGAAACCCGGGTTCGGATCCTGCTAAGGGCACGTACCTCGGTTGCAGTTTGTCTCCGGCCCTGGTTGGGTTGTGCGGGTAGCAGCCACTCCATGTGTCCCTTTCATGTCAATGTTTCTCTCTCTCTCTCTCTCCCTCACACTCTGTCTGAACAAAATATGGAAAAGTGTCCTCAGGTGAGGATAAAAAAATAAAATAAAAATATGGAAAAGCACATAAAGTACCTTCTGGCTAGATCCACATATTTTATATATCTAGAAATGTAATGAATATTAATGTTCAGTTTGAAGGTTTATTTTTAGATAAACTGGATTGTGTTAATTTAGTGTAGGAACTGAGAAGGAAGTGACCATCAATAGGACAGGAAGCTAGAGCTTTCTCAGAGAAGATTTCATGCCTATTTTACCAATATCTCAAACCCTACACAGATAAAAACTAGCTATAAACACTCGGATATAAATGCAAGTTGGAGAAGTTGGCTTTAAAAGTCATTAAAACATTAGCATCAACTAACCTCTGTCCTGGCTATTAAAAACATCTCTAAGGGACAAAAACAGAAGGGATAGAAGGGGACAACAAGCAGGGAGGGACAAGGCCCATCTCAGTGCAGAGCTGAACTTCAGTCAGGTCATCTGGTCTAAAATACACCAACTCCACAAAGATCTGGCCAGAAAAGAACACAGCCATGTAACAAAAAATTTCTCTGTTCTATTTAGGCACTTGAAAATATAGAAAGCAAAGGGGAAAGAGAATTTTTAACTATCAACCTGAGTTTTAAACACATAAAGCATAACTTTAATTACTCCTCAAAAACTCAACAGCAGAAACTGGTGCATGGCTCGTGATGAGACCTTGTCTGAAATGAATAAAATCTCTGAACTTCTACAAGACAGTCAGTTGCTAAAAGGCTGGAAGCGTCAGGGTTTTCATGTTAGCCAACATCTGTGACAAAGATAAAGTCCTTGCCTTAGCCCAGACCAAAACAGAATGACAACACCATGGAAACAAGCAGAAAGATTTCATAAGAACTGACTGGACAGCCCCTGACCAGTAGTGACCATTCCCAGGTTAAAACTATGCTGACCTCTCTAGCAATGTTATCTTGAAATTCTGCAGTTCCAAGAACAAGCACATGACTTCATGACAGTCAAGGGGCAATTTATGAACAAGTGAGGAATTCTTAATAGGTACCTTGCTAGGCAAATGTATATTTTGTCAAACCTGTTCTATTTCCCTAAATTTAATCATGCTACCTGAGAGAAAAGACTCTAAAATTATTAACCCACCTACAGACTGTTTTTACTTTCTCTCTCATAGAAGAACATAGTATACCTTTAAAAGAGTGCCAATTTCTCGTCTTTCATATTTCCCCAAACGTGGCTTTTCCTTGGGTTTCAACAATGACTGCTGAACAGAGATAAATTAAGCTGTTTTAAGAAACTACAACAAGATGCTTTCATGCCTCAAAGCTAAATCCCAAAATACATTCTAAACTTTTAACTTTGAAAAGTTAGGCTGAATCTCCATTTCCTGTCCCCTAGGATCCACCTACTTGCTAGTAACATCACAGAAATAAAACTTTTCAAATGAGAAGGGTAATTTTAATCTCATCAGCCAGCATTTGCCAAAATGTAACATGTGCAAGACAGGATTAATAATAGTTGTTCTTTTTTCTGACATTCTTGAGCCTGGCTCTCAAAAGAGACAGAAAGAGGGGAAAACCAGGGTGTTATTCAAATGCTATTAAAACCAGGGAACAACACCTTGAATCTCAAATTATTTTGAGTCATCACCACAAAACTACTCTCAATCCTGGTATATGCTGGTTATTTCAAGTCCTAGTTCAGTTTCAAACATTGCAGATATTAAGAATTTGAGCCTTGTACAAATAAAAATGAGGCTCACAACAAAGAGCAATGCTGCCCCACAGATCAAATATTTATTCTATATTTAACTAAGCATAAGATTAAGGATGTTCCAAATGGGATCTGTAAAAGCTATAATGTGCCACTCCATTTCATCATATGAGTAAAGATTTCTCCTATTACATTGTGTGTAGGGTTATAGCAGAGATGGACAATATCACCAAGCAAAACACTATCCAATCCGGTTTCTCAACGTTCAAACCATTTTTTAAATTTGCCAAAATAAGACCTAGTAAGTCAAAGAGATCTCATTTCTAATGATTCTTTGATTCTTGGATTATAAACAGAATGTTGAAAGGAGTGACATCTGAGGTGCGTCACTTGGCTCAGTCACTGACATTTCTTTATCTTTAAATAGGGAGTGGACATCTCATGACACTGACTAGTATACAAAATATGTCTCTCAAACCTGTAAACACCACAGTAAAATAACAGCTTTGGATAGTCTATATATATTGTATCATATATAAACTCAACTACAATTTGATTCAATTTTAAAAATCAGGACAAGATGACTCTAATCCCAAAGAATAGACAAGGATTGCTAAAATTGTAAGGGTCACTACATGTGGCACTCAACTGTATCCCAGTGGAAATGCTAAATAATATTATACCTATACTTCGCAAAAGCTGAATGGCATGAGAAAACTGACAAAAGCCCCAGTGCTTCTCACTAGACCTTTTCCTTTTCTTACCCAATAATAAACACTGCTTTGACATATTCAAATAGTTATGGATATGGCTGGCTACCAAGAAGTTTTAAGTTCCTTCAGCCTTGCTGAGCTGAGGGTATAGCAGCATGTTCAATGTTATAAAGCAGCTCCAAAAATCAGTGCAAATGTGCATTCCATGTCTACTGTGTGGGAATCTCTCTTCAAACCATAGGCTAAGTTTAAAAAGGAAAAAACTAAGTTACTTATATTTGAAAACCAGCAGTGCCAATTTTAATCACCTCATTTCTAGAAAAGAATGTTGCATTTATCTGCTATTCAGATATCTAGCACTGTCACCTAAATGAATGCAGACTTTTAGGACTCACGTAAGCTACTGGTTTTTGAGAGCCTGCTATGTGCCAAACACTGTGTTAGCTATTCTGTATCAGTGCTTCTCAAATTATCTGTGGTGAAGGAACAGTTGGTTTTTTTCCTGATCCACTGCAGAACAAAACTTATAAAATAGAATTAAAAGTCAATTACTACAAAAATAAAATGAAAAAAGGACACAAAATATAAGTCCCAAGCTTTATAATTAAGTTCAACAGGTATAAAATTAGTCTAGCAACTGTGATGAAGTTTCTAAATGCTTAGTACTCTCAATTTCTGTGCTTATCTTGTCATTATGGGCATCTGACTGTTCATGGTACATGGACCACACTCTGAGTAGCCATGCTCTATTTAATTTCCCAAAGTAATTTTAAAAGCCTCCAAGTTCTGCCCTGGCCAGTATTGCTCAGCGGTTAGAGTGCTGGCCCGCGAACCAATGAGTCTTGGGTTCGATTCTGGTCAAGGGCATGTACCTCGGTTGCGGTTCATCCCTGGCCCTGGTTGGGGTCATGCAGGAGGCAGCTAGTCGATGTTTTCTCTCTTACATCGATGTTTCTCTCTCTCTCTCCCCCACTCTATCTGAACAAAAATAGAAAAATGTCCTCAGGTGAGGATAAAAAAAAAACAAAACATAAATGCATAAAATACAAAACATGGGATTTTAATTACAGTATATAGAAATACAGTTATCAAAATACCTTTAAAAATTTTGTGATATCAACATAGGAGCTTCATTATTAGTAATTGAATAACAAGATGTAATATCATAATTTCTAAGTGATGATGAACATATTTCAAGATATGTTCAACAACTGTAATATGATATAAAATATCTGTGATTTCAGCCCTGGCCGTTTTGGCTCAGCAGTTAGAGCGTTGGCCTGTGGTCCAGAGAGACCCAGGTTCAGTTCCCGCTAAGGGCACATACCTCGGTTGCAGTTTGTCCCCGGCCCTGGTTGGGTTGTGCGGATGGCAGCCACTCACTGTGTCCCTTTCACATTGATGTTTCTCTCTCTCCTTCTCTTCCTCTCTCTCCCTCCCACTCTATCTGAACAAAAAATGGAAAAATGTCCTCAGGTGAGGATAAAAAAAAAAAAATCTGATTTCTGATTTCTATAGGTTACAAAATCACAGGTACTTCCAATGTTTAAATTCGAGTTTGTTGACTACATCCATACTTGAAGGAAACACTGAATTTCAGCTAAAGGTAAATAGAGATTAAATTTTCCCATCCAAGTTCACATACTCCCTGAATTCTATCCACAGAGCCTATGGATCCCTATTCAGGTTCAGAACCTCTAGAAAGGAAACATGGCTTCATTACAAGATCCTCCAAAAAGTGTTCCCTTCAAAGTTCCCCAAATGTATTTTTACCTCTCCACCCATTTTGCTCCTTTCTAAACTAAATAAACCAGTTGGTGTCTTTCAGCTACACCACACCTAGATGATCAGGAAGAACTCAGTATGGTGAAATAAAGAAGGTAATTCTTCTATTATGTGCCACTGTTTTGATGAAAATATGTTGACACAGAGTCTTCTTTTACACTCTTAATTATTTTATTTCAACAGTGAGAAAAGCAAACATATCAATAAAGATAGGAGGTCCAGATTTTCCAGTCTGTTCTATTCTATTAGACTTTGTTGACCTGAAATCAGTAATGCAAACAACAGAGCACGAAGTAAACAGGGTCAGATCTGTACAAATACAAGCTCAATGTTAATATTTTGTTGGTATAAATCCACTACTTGAATTCTGGAACTGTATTTATTAGTATTACTAAACCTACAATTTGCATAAAACAGTTTGCACATGACTCCTTCCTATTAATCTCCTTTCTGTCAATCTAAAATTTCTATATATTGTGCTGTGACCTAGTCACTCAGCCCAACCAGGTTTCAGCAGAAACACTAGGGATTCAAGTGTGTACTACAAGCATCCCATCGTGGAACATTAATTATTCCACAATTGTGCTTAATAGCACTTTAGAAACTCAAAGCTCCACAAAAATATTCAACATCATTGGGAAAGAAATCATTTAGCACTATAAAAACCCCTTTAAATTATAAACTGTCAGTAGTAATGGGTTGCAGAAACACACTTTAATAATTACTACACATTTATAATGTATCAAACTTCACCAAACAAATAACACTCTAAATGCTAAAAATCTTTTAGCATCCTATAAACTTAAATTATCTTTAAAATAGATGTTTGAAAAAGCAGTAATATATAAGACAATTATAGTACATCCATAAATTACTCTGCAGCCATTAAAATTATGTTTTTAAGTTAATTTGACAAAAATGGTCCCAGTAAGTGATTAAAGGATACAAAAATGCATGGAGCATATCATCCCAATTATATATGAAGAAAATAGAACATGAAATTAATATAAATAATATTGAATGCCAATTGTCATAATAATTGTTTTCATTTAAAGAGAAGAAAATAGTACAAAATTAATTAATATGGCTATTTGTAGATAGGGCAATAAAAGGATATTTCTTTTCCCTCTTACTCTTTTAGGCATTTTCTCTATTTTCTATAACATCCATGCATTACTTATTTTTGTTGTTGTTAATCCTCATCTGGGGATATTTTTCCATTGATTTTTTAGATAAGGAGAGAGGAGGGAGAGAGAGAAAGAAACATTGATGTGAAAGAAATACATGGACTGGTTGCCTCCTGCATGACCTTGACTGGGGCCTGGGATCAAATCTGCAACCCAGGTACATGCCCTTGACTGGGAATCAAACTGGAGACCCTTTGGTCCATGGGCCCACACTCTAACTGCTGAGCCAAACCATCCAGGGCCATGTATTACTTCTTTATAATCAAACAAGTTTTGCATAGCATTAAAATGCAATCAAGCCCTGGCTGGTTTGGCTCAGTGGTTAGAGCATCAGCCTGCGGTCCAGAGAGACCCAGGTTCGGTTCCTGCTAAGGGCACGTACCTCAGTTGCAGTTTGTCCCTGGCCCTGGTTGGTCGTGCGGGTGGCGGCCACTCGATGTGTCCCTTTCACGTCGATGTTTCTCTCTCTCTCTCTCTCTCTCTCTCTCTCTCTCTCTCTGTCTTCCTCTCCCTCCCTCCCACTCTATCTGAACAAAAAATGGAAAAATGTCCTCAGGTGAGGATAAAAATAAAAAACAAATAAATAAAATGCAATCAAGTTAATATCATCATTTTTCATATAGGTCAAAACACAGAATTACTACTTATATTGGCTTGTAAGAGAGAAGATTTAAGACAATCTGAGTCAAAATAGTCGGTGTAACAACTGCTATGCACTCTGAACGCGTTTCAGAGGCCAGTGTCTCTCTTCCCCGAGTGGGCAGCTCGCTGGCTCTGATGGCTTCTGGCAGCATCCCCAGACCATCAGAAGAAGAAGCTGTTGCTCTCTCCTGCCTATATATGGACATGGTCTGTGTTAACAGGATTACTGACCAAAATGAGCATATGCCAGGAGGCCAAGGAGATCAGGCCACAAGAGAAGTGCTCTGAAGGGATGTGATAACAGTTAGGCAGCAGGGACAGAAAACGGGCTCCTTTCGGCTCGCCATGGTTCGGCCTGCATTTCCAGGTACCGAATTACATCTACTGAACTCGTTTTTGGAATGAAAGTCATTAGCTTAAACAAATGATAAATTTAAACAAATCCATGAATTCTAAAATCATCTCTATGAGGATGTGAGGAAAAGAGGTCCCACCTAACACTGTTACTTGGGAGTATGAACTGGTGCAGTCACTTTGGAGAGCAATTGGGCAGTAGCTATTAAAATTTAAAATGGTCCCTATAACCCAACAGTTCTACTTCTCAGGACTACTCTAGAGAAATACTCCCACATGTGCACAAATAGGCATGCAAGAATATGCACTAAAGGAACATTTTTAACAGTGAAAAACATAAACCAACCAAAATACCTGTTATGGTAGTCTGAAGAATGGCCCCCAAAGATGTCCTAATCCCTGGAACCTGTGGATGTGACTATAGATGGCAAAAGAGACTTTGCTGATATGATTAAAGATCTTGAGATGGAGAGAGACTGGATTATTGGGTGGGCTCTAAATGTAATCACAAGGGTCCTTGGGAAATAGATGTGGGAGGAGTCAGTCAGAGAAGGAGGAATGATGACAGATCAGAGAGCAGGGTGATGAACTTGGAAGATGGAGGAAGGAGCCACAAACCAAGGAATACAGGAGGTCATTAGAAGCTGTAAAAAGGCAAGGGAACAGACTCTCCCCTAGTGTCTCAAGGGACCAGATCTGCCAACACCTCACTTTAACCCAATGTGACTCATTTTTTACTTCTGATCTCCAAAAGTGTAAAAGAACAGGTCTGTGTTGTTATGAGCCATTAAGTTGGTAATTATTTGTTAGTACAGCAACAGGAAACTAAGACACCCATCAACAGGACAATGGCTAAATAAACTACGGTATTTCTGGAGTCTTATGCAACACTTAAAAAAATGTGGTAGATCTATACATAGAGACACAGACAGATCAAAACACATCATTAAGTTTTTTAAAGAAGCAAGTTACAGAAAGATATGTCTAGCTTCACAAAGTGTTGTCCCATAAGCACACATAAACATACATATTCAAAAATAGTCTTGAAGAATATACAATTTTCTGGAAAGGGGGAATCAGTGGGGTAAAATGGGGAAACATCTGTAACAAAAATAAATTAATTAAAAATAAATAAATAAATAATAAAGAATACACAATTTTCTCCCTGATTTAACGGAGGTGGGAAGTAGATGGAGACCAGGAGTAGGGATGGTAGTCAAAAAGGAACTTCAGTTTCATCTGTTACTTCCATTTTTTAGAGGCATTTTATTGATTTTTAGAGAGAGGGGAAGGGAGGAGGTGAGAGAGAGAGAGAGAGAGAAAGATCAATG